TTTCCCTTGAACCTGATACTACATATGCGGTCTGATACTGGTTTAAACTCTACTATTGCTTCTTTTAGCTCTTTTCTTATCATAAAACCTGTGCCTAATGTTCGATTCTTTCCACCGCTGTTGAAAAACATTGTATCCTCTATTTCAAATATATCATTTCCCAGCTGTTTCGTCTCCTGTAAAGCTACTATGTCAAAATGGAACTTTTCGATTTCTCTCGCTAAATGTTTAAGTTTGCCTTCTCCATATGTGCCTCTTACATTCCATGTTCCTAAAAGTAGGTGCTCTTTTCGCAATGTTTTCTTGTGCTTTGGTTCAGTTTTCATTTCTGTACTCTTTTTTTCTTTTTTTGTATTTTCCTTAACCTTGTTCTGTGCTTGTTTCGTCAACGTTATTTCAGTAGTACATTTAGTTGCTAGTTTTTTGATGTTTTTTTACACATTGCGCCTTCTTTGTCATTCCACCTCCATTCGCTGTTATTCACCCATATTTTTTTTACTCCAATTTTTACTTCATTTCCTTTATTTCTTTCTTCTTGAGCAATGTTTCTAATTGTTTTCTGTATTTCTCGTTCTTTTATGGTTGCATCTTCGTTGATATATATTTTGTACTCTTTAAATTCTTTTAACTTATGCTTTTTTTCCATTATTTTTCTTTTTTTCTTCTTGGTTTTCTAATTCAATTAGGCATGTTTTTTCGCCTAACTTGTGAGCATTCCTTATTTTAACCTCTACCCCTATATGTTGTTTGATGAAATTATTGATTGTTCCTTTTAACTCTGCTTGCTCATATGTGTCTATCCTTAGACCGTTCATAACTATGTTATTTATTCGTCGGTGTTTTTCCATAACTTCCATGTTTTTTGTTATTTCTCTGAGTTCCTCCTTGATCTCTATATTTTCTTGTTTTAGTTCCAAATTTTCTTTTCTCAGCTCTCTGTTTTCCATTATGAGCTTTTCTATCGTTTCCTTGCATTCTTTTTGATTTCTTTTTATTTCCTTAATATCATCGGTAAGGTGGCTCATCATTATTAGTAATTGATCAATTTTTGTTGCCTCATTTTTTTTCTCTGGAGTTTTTGTTGGCGTTCTCGAGAACTTCTTGCTCTTTCTAAAAATGTTATCTTCTTCCTCGCTGTCTTTATATCTGTCCTTCCTTTTTGCCCCTCCTTCTGAAAGTGTATCATCACTGTCTAAATTTTTTATATATTTTTCCATTTTCCGGCGCCAAACACTGTCTTCCACCTCAACAGTTCAGAGAAGACAGCGTTTACCGTATTTATTTTATGTTTATTAACCGTTATTATTTTTCTGTGTCTACCCCGAAAGTCTACTCACAACGGCAACGTCGCAATTTCAAAGGTCAGAGTTTCGTTTCTATGCCTTGATGTTAATTAGGCTTATCAATTACAGCAATCTTACTTTTTATAGGGCCTTGGTGTTTTCGGATGTTATTTCACCGATTTTAAAGTTTTTTCTTAGCACTCTCCTTCACTTAATGTCTTATATTATTCACTGAATGTCTTATATTATTCACTAGATATTTTCAATAATTTATTTCCCGTTACAACTCTCAGAAATTGAGTTTATTGTAGACGACAAATAAAATATTTGTTTACGTTTTGGTTACCGTGTTGCCACTGTAATTAACCCAAAAAAAATTATTAGTTCGACTATTGTAGTATTGAAGTAAAAATTGAAAAGCCATAAATGTCATCCAATTAATAACAATATTGGATCATCCATTTCAATATTTATGACACTTCACGTTTTAAAATAATTATTTCATAAATACAATATCCGATATTTAAATTTATTAGTTCGACTATTGTAATATTGAAGTGCGACAAAAAGAGTTAGTAAAACAATGTATGTTAAATTTTCATATATCTATTCTTTGAAAACAAATTCTAAAGCAGCACATATTAAATATGGCTTTTTAAAAAATATCCGCCACAATAAACGGTTGGAAGAGTTCATTTACGTTACGAGCGGAGTCGTTATACAACATTAATACAAAATTATTAAATTAATAATAAAATTACTTTATTCAATTATATAAATAGTATTTAAATTTTTAATAATACAGAAAATATAGAATACAGCTTCGCGTTAATCTACACTACAGCCATCTGTTTCACTTTTTTTAAGCAAGCAAGCAAGCAATCGTGTTTTATTTACCTTAGGCTGAGAGATTTGCACTCCCCTTAAGAATGACATTGGGTGATACAATTTATTATATCGAGGAATATTAAGTAGCGTACACAGGAATCCCTCTACCTTGTTCCAATGCTCCAGACCATCCACTGTCCCCTGTGCCCCCACTCTAGGTTCTGAGATTCCGTGTTTAGATAGAACTGCTCCTACCTGCAACTTGAATCTTCTGTATCCATAATCTCTCATTTTGTGAGTCCTTCATACCTTCAATTGTCTATACCCTGTCGAAGGCTTCGCTTACATCCACGAAGGCTGCTCTTGTATATTGCTTGTCGTTGAATCTAGCTTATTAACGGACCTTTTAAATATGCAACTATTGTCATACAGTCGATTCATCCTCCACAGTATCTGGAATTACTGGATGGTTACCAGTCGCCGCTCTAGAAGATGAGCAAAGACTCTTCTGGCTCATCTTCTTGTTATTTTAAAAATTAGTATAGTTCGAATTATTACTAACAAAAGGTTTACCGAGGACTCTGCCATCAATGAGGTGCTACTGGCAATATAGTGTACTTTGTCTGTTCGAATTTTTTTACATTTAAATATTGTAACCTCGGAAATCTTTTTTGGGTGGTGCTAGAAAGATAACCAATGGAGACACTGCGGACGGCAGCCAGATGGTTGGTGGAGAGCGAGTCGTGGGTTCGAAACTAGCTTTTGAAACCGGGAATGGATCCAACGGAAGAAATAGGTAAAAATAGGATAAGAGATATTAGAAAAGATACAGAAATAAACAAAAAGATAGATGGGTAAAATTACCGAAGATAAGAGAAGATAGAAACAGGGCGCCACTCAATTTTTTGGGGTTAAGGAGAAAATTAAGAAAACCTTAGAAAAGAAAAGAGATAAGAAAAGATATTTAGGTTCAGAGATCAAACCCAAGGAAAGATACCAACAGTAAATTATCAAATAAATCTGGTCAACGCAATATATAAACAAATAATAAATATATTAAGTACTACACTTACTTACCTACGAAACTTAATCAGCCTGATCTTTCTGCTGGTCAAAAGCATAGTAATATTTAAAGATAGTAATTGTTCAGAGCTATTATTTTATCAGGGAACTTGTTAGGAGCCGACAAATAAAATACATGCATAAAACAATAACAATATATTAAACACAAAATTATGATGCTGTTAAATGCAACCCAGGTAATAAAAATACACAACTATGAAATGGTGTTATATATGTATAAAATTAAGCTATAATGTAATAAAAAAATATCTTTACCAAGATGTATAAGGCAATCATATACAAATATAGTTTGGCGTATCTCGAGATATCATAGGAAAGATAATGAACAAAAATTATAGGAAATACAAAAAATAGCAAAAATTACTTAACTCTAAATTTACAAAAAAAAACAAAAAGGTTACAAGAATGAAAACATAAATCAAACCGCACTTGGCTAAGTCAATTAACTATCTCGCACTTTTATTTAATAAAAAACTGAGACTTGTATGTTCATAGGTAATATTTATAGAAATTTCTTGTATGGTTCAATTACATTCAAAAATCGGCAATCTTCAGGTGAAGATATAGATGATACGTCCAGATAATGGCAGGTGATATGGTACCATACCATAGTACTCGCCCAGATAGTTGTAGATAAAATTACTTACAGTAGATCTTGACGAAGGCAGCTTAATTCACTGAATTTAATACTTTTCTGGTACTAAACACTGAATTTAATAACCATTAAAGGTAGTGTAGAACTATATATAATTTAATATAGTCTAAGGAAAGAAAACTCAAATATAAAGTGTATACACACTTAGAAAATAATTCACAAAGACGATGCGATAAGAAATAAAGTGAGCAAAGCGTAACACGAGATATTGGCCTTAACTCAACAACGGCCCACCAACAAGTAACTTAGTTCCACTCAAAATTTCACCAACTGTCCCTGAAAAAGGAAGAAGAAAATATCCCCCCACTCAAGAATGATAGGACAGTTGTATGTGTTTCTCAGAAGGTAAGGCCTTAACGACTATTGGAAACTTTGAGGTAAAATAATCGGTATTAACAATTGGACATAAGAAACAGACAATACTTGGGATTAAGTTATTGTCAAAAGAAACGGGCCTTCGACGAAAATTACCAATTTATGAAAAGGAAACTGCATACTAAAACGCATTATACTCTTTTCATAATTAATATTATGACGGAAGGATTAAAAACCATTCCTGATTAGGGAATTCCATTTTAGCTGGGTATCTACAATATTTTGCTATCGATACACGATCATAGGCGTATCGCACGGGGGTAAAAGGAATTAGAAATATTTAATATATTAATAATAAAAAAAATGTTACAATATATATCTTAGATAACAATGGTTCAGGAGTACTATATGCTCAGAAGGCATCTCGTTTGTTAAACAGACATCTCGGTTTTTCCAGTCTCGACGTGCAATCGATACTATTTTTCTTAATGCGTAGGAATATCGGCAAAGTGTTGAAACTTTGATAATTTTCTTTCCAGACTTTTACTTATTTCGACAATACCGATTTAACAGCAAAGTGCTAATTAATCTTTTAAATATAAATCTATTATTTTATTTTGCTTTAATACTTTTTGGTTATATACTTTCCATATACATTAAAGTGAAGTAAAGATTTCTTATTGGAGGTCTGATTTTGGACGAAAATACTGGCTGTTCCTGTAGAACTAAGAACTAATAATTTACTTATTATGTAGCTTTTTCCCTATTGATTATTAGGGTATACCGTCCGTTAGAAAGCTTGATACTCTATTAATGATTCTTTATTTCCATTTCAGGTACCGTAGAAAAAGTGGATACTTACAACGAGGATCTTGTTAGATTTAGAGTGGGACCCTTTAATAACTATCTTTTTTCAAATTTCGATCAATTTGTTAATGGTTCACTACAAGCTCAAGTTCATTCAAAATTTTCGATGATATTCGCGCACGAATCATCTCTAACTTCAGTATTAAACGGCTTGGGTGCTTACGACATGAGGCCAGTTGGTTTTGCTTACACCGTCATCTGGGAATTAAGACGAAGGCCAAATGGCGCCTATTTTTTAAGGCTTTTATACAAAAAAGACGGCAATAAGCTAATACAGTTGAGTATGCTAGATTGTGGTATAGACTGTGATTATCAGGAGTTAAAAAAACGGGCTGAGAATATTACTGTTGATATTGAAACTTGGAAGGAAGAGTGTAAGAAATAATGTATGTACTTAAATTTTTAAAATTTTCAATTTATTAATTTTATTTAATTTAATTTTATTTATTTTATTTATTTTATGTACTCATTTATATTTTTAAAATATTAAAAAATGTATTTTATATGTTTATATGTAGTTTTATTATCTTCCAAATGTATAAACATTAGATTATTTATTATATTAAATGGTATTTAACCACAAGTTTAATTAAAAATACGTTATATATTATGTTTTAAATTATTAGAATCAATAAGTAACAAAACCATCGTCGAAATCTTCTGTCCATGACCATCTTGGTCTAACTAGTTCTCTTCTAATGGGCGGAGTCCATTATTCTATCTTTCTATCTATTCTATCTTTTTGACCATCTATTTTCAGGCATTCCCTGCAGGTGTCCATACTACTTTAGTCTTTTGGCTTCGATAGTATCTATTATGTCTAGGTCAATTTTCATTTCTAGTGTGCCGGCAACATTGTTTCCAGTAGCCCATTTCCATGTCCTTAATTTTTTATTTGTTTCTTTAATTTATTTCCCAAATTGTAGCACCGTACATCAAAATGCTTTCTAGTACTGCTTTATAAATTCTTTTTTTTATTTTATTTTGTTATTTGGTTATTCCACAATAGTCCGTGTAGCTGTCTAGTGGTTGATCTTGATTAACCAATCTCAGAATGTATTTCTTCGTTACTCCCGGCTTTTGATCTTATTTGGACGCTCGGGGGAACCTGTAACCCCTACAGAGCGCGTTCCCAGGTGCCTCCAGGTGCCCGACCCCGGTTTCTAGTGGGTAGGAGGGAAATAAAATACCTCCCGTGGACCAACAGGTAATTCGCCGCATGATTGCCGGTATAAGCGATCTCACCATTTACTGGCCAACGGCTTCGGGCGGAGGAGCTAGTATGTGGAAGGGCATTCTTTTGTCCAGAAATCGAGAAATTGGTCTCGAAGGCGGATGAACCTAGGACGGTAAACGGCGGAAGGATGCAGAGGGCAACGGGGAACCACTGCAATAAAGACTTATAGATTACCCCTAGTTAAGTCATTATGGTGTACAACAAAAATACTGGAAACCCTTCTGATCATGGGAATAGGATACCAAGGTCCTGCATAGTGGGAAAAACACAACACTACAAGGCTCATTTGTTCGTAAACATGCGAAATCCTTGTGCAGGAGCGCAGAAACCCACAACTTTAAGAGTTACAACGTGGAATGTTAAAAGTTTGTTGTCGGCAAGAAAACTGGATAATGTTGAACAAAAAACTATTCGACTAAACATGGATGTTTTAGGAATCAGCGATACCCAATGGCCAGGATCTGGGAAATGTTCAAGACGAAATGATGGCGTATTTTATTACTCCGGAATCTGCAACAACACCCATCGTTACGGAGTTGGAATCATCATTTCAAAGCAATGGAAAAATTCTTTGATTAACTGTACTCCTTATTCAGGACGCTTAATATTAATACAAATTAAAGAAAAACTAATAAATCTTATTCAAGTCTATGCACCAACAGTAGATAAAAATGACAATGAAATAGAACAATTCTACAACGATTTAGAAGAAATACCGAAAACAATAAAAGAACAATGCAATAACATAATAATGGGCGATCTTAATGCCAAGGTGAGTCAAGGTAAGGTAGGAGAACAATTAGGAAAATATGGGCTTGGAAATAGAAATGACAGAGGAGGTCGATTGATTCAATTTTGCCAAAGTGAAGACTTCGTAATAACAAATACCTTTTTCAAATTACGTCCTTGACGTCTATATACATGGACATCTCCACAACATACCAAAGAAAAAATAGTGAGAAATCAAATAGACTATATTATGATAGCAAGGAGGTATCGTAATGCTGTTAAATGTACTAAGACGTACACAGGAGCTGATATAGGCTCAGATCATAATCCGGTAGTTACTGTGATAGAGGCGAGACCAAAAAAGATTAGAAGGCCAGATAGAAAGGCACTAGATTTAAATAAACTTTATAAACAAAAATATACGACAAGAAACAGGAGAAGAAATAAATGAAAACCTCCGTTCAGTGCAGCAACAAATTAACGATACAAATAACGTTAATCAAAAATTAAAGTACATAAATACAGCTATATAAATAGCAGGAAAGAAACATCTTACAAAAATAACAACAAAGAATAAGGGGTGGATGACACAAGATATACTAGACTTGATGGACAAAGAAGAAAGATGAAGAATTGCCCAGACAAATACAAAGAAATAAATAAACACATAAAAAAGAGAATAAAAGAAGCCAAAGAGGAGTGGATTAAGGAACAGTGTGAAGAAATGGAAACCTATGAGAAAAAGTACGATGCGTTCAATATGCACAAAAAAGTAAAAGAGATAACAGGAAGCATAAAGAAATGCCAAATAGGTAAACTTAAAGACAAAGATGGAAATCTTATTTAAGATCTAGAGAATAAAATAAAAAGATGGGCAGAATACCTTAATGATTTTTTTGAAGACAAGACAAACAACTTAACTCAGATAATCAATGCAACTGGGTCAGACATATTGAAAGCAGAAGTAGAATACGCAATAAGAAACGCTAAAAATGGAAAAGCAAATGGACTTAATGAAATTCCTACAGAACTGTTAAAGCTTTTGAATGATAAATCCGTAACCATAATATTACATCTATTCAATACAATATACAGGACTGGTATAATACCTCAAGAACAGTTGCTGTCTACATTTGTCACCATACCGAAAAAAAGTAAGGCAATGCAATTTTAAGATCATCAAATAATCTCCTTGATGAGTCACTTGCTTAAAATATTAAATTAAATATTAAAAGATATGAGTCATTCACAACCGAATCTATCAAAAGTTAGATATCGATAATAACGATACACAGATGGGATCCAGAAAAGGATTAGGTACAAGAGAAGCTCTCTTTGCCTTAAATGTCCTAACATAGATATGTCTAGATGTTAACCAAGAGGTGCATGCCTGCTTTATAGACTTTGAAAAGGCCTTTGACAAATTACGCCACAATTAACTCAAAGAAATCCTGGAAGGTACGAACATCGACACCAGAGACATACAAATAATATTAAATCTGTAGTGAAATCAGCAAGCTAATATAAAAATAGAAAACCAAATATCGGACGAAATAGTACGACATGGTTGTATATGTAGAGGAGTACGACATGGTTGTATATTGCCACCGATTTTGTTTAATATCTACAGCGAACAAATATGTCAAGAAGCTCTTTCACATGCAAACGAAGGGATAATAGTCAATGGAAAAGTTATCAATAACATTCGATATGCTGATGATACTGTGATAATGTCAAGAACAGCGGAAGATCTACAACATCTAGTAGAAAGTATGAACGAGATATGTAATAACTACGGCATAGGGATGAACGTCAAAAGAACCAAATATATGACCTTCAGTAAGAATCCAATACATGACATTAGTATCGCAATAAACGGTACCCAACATGAAAAAGTAAGCGAATATAAATACTTGGGAACCCTCATCAATGAAACAGATAACCAAAATCACGAGATAAAAAGACGTATTGAAATTTCCAGGTCTACCTTTATAAAAATGAAAAAAATATTTAGTAATCGTGATATTAGTATTCATCGACGAACTAGAATGTTAAAATGATATGTATTCAGTACTTTGCTTTACGGTCTTGAAGCATGGACTCTTAAACAGAGGAATAATAAAAATCTTGATAGCTTTGAGATGTGGTGCTACCGCCGTATACTATAAATAAGTTGGGTGGATACAATTACAAATGAACAGGTAATACGCAGAATAAATATCGATCCAGGAGTTAATATAAATATAAAAAAGATAAAACTTGAATAGTTAGGCCACCTGATGAGAAGACAAAAGTACACATTCCTACAAAATATAATGCAAGGAAAAATCCAAGGACGCAGAAATCTAGGCCGTAGAAGAATGTCCTGGATGAGAAATTTAAGAGAGTGGTTTGGCTGTACCACTAACGAATTATTTAAAACAGCAGTTATAAAAATTACAATCGCCATAATGATATCCAATCTCCGATAGGAGAGGCACTCAAAGAAGGAGAAGGACTCCCAAGTATTTGAAGGTTTCAGTTGATTTTATAGTTCCCATTGTTATTTGTAGCATTTCTGGTTTTTATTCTGTACCTATGTAAATCCTGTTTTTTTTTTCGTATATCAATTGTAAGGCCCCACTTGGTTTATTCCTCCTTCAGTTTTCTTAGCCTATGTTCTATTATTTCGTCTTCAGCTAAAATGGCTTGGTCGTCAGTGAAGTGTATCGTATATAATCTCGTCTTCGATTGCAATGCCCATATTGCAGCATTTTCTTCTCCACACTGAGAGCGCTCCATTAAGATATATTTTGAATAGTGTAGGTAATATGCAGCATCCTTGATTAAATCCTTACTAATAGGAATTTCTCTAGTTAATTTGATAATTTGATAAATATGCTTGTTTTTTGTTGTATACCGCATTAGCGATGTCATTTGTCTACCACAATGGAGTATCCTTTTTCTTCCTTTGGATCATACCAAGTGCTTCATAAACTGCTTTATTGACTTTATTCTGAGCTTATATATATGTTTATATCTAGATAGGTATTCTGGGCTAAGGAGTAGATGGGAATTTTTAATTTTTGACTAAGCCGTAACTTAAATAAAAATGATGTTGAGTGGTTTTGCAGTCCATCATTATTTTATTTGGGTGGATTAATTTTCAGTGGTTTTTATTGTGATTTTTGGTCATTATTTCGATGTAGTGGTCGTGGCCGATACTATGGTAACATTTTAATCTTACCATAGAGTGGTCAGTTCCGCACTCCAGTCCTTTTAACACTCTGATATCTTCTACTTGTATGTTTATTTTTTGTTTTGTGATAACATAATCTATAATTGACTTAGTGTTTCTCGTTGGTTGGACCCAGGTATACTTATGTATATTTACATGATGGTAGAATCCATTTAGGATTTTTAGAGAGTGCTGTTCGTAGAATTGGATTAAATGTAAAACAGAACCAAGTTTAATTTTTATTTTGAGAACGATTTCGGAAATCAAAACGTCGAAAAATCTAAACGTTATATATAAAGCAGATGGTATACCAATGTCATAAGAACATAGTTTCAGAATCATTAGATTACTCTCGAATTTAATACTATTTG